GGGGGGCAATGGCTGGCCTGTACCATTTATCTTAGGGTGGGGGCGGGGGGGGGGCAATGGCTGGCCTGTACCATTTATCTTGGGGCGGGGGAGGCGGGGGGCTGCCCTCACTCTGCAGGTCCTGGTCCTCGGCGAAGGTGGGGTTGTCCATCAGGTACTGCTGGGCCTCGGACCAGGTGGTCTGGAAGCTGACGTTGCTCATGCTGTCCAGGATGTTCTTCAGGGCCTGGATGTTCCGCTTGCGCAGCTGCTTGGCGTGTTCCTGCGTGGAGGAGACGGGCTGCGTCAGACGCCCCCGCCGCAGGGACCCAGCCCGGGACACATGGCGCCCCCCGGCCCCCGCCTGCTGTCACGGCCCCCCCGGCCCCCCTGCCCGCTGCCACGGCCCCACACACCTCCCCGCCCGCTGCCACGGCCCCCCGCCACGGCCTCCCCCGCCTCCCATCCGCTGCCACGGCCCCACACGCCTCCCCGCCCGCCGCCAAGGCCCCCCCCGCCTGCTGCCAGAGCCCCACACGCCCCCCCCGCCCGCTGCCATGGCCCCCCCGCCTCCCGCCCGCTGCCACGGCCCCACCCGGCCCTCCCGCCCGCTGCCACAGCCCCACCACCTCCCATCAGCTGCCACGTCCCCCCCACCTCCCGCCCGCTGCCACGGTCCCACATGCCTCCCACGGCCTCCCACCCGCTGCCACGGCCTCCCTGACCCCCCCGCCCGCTACCATGGCCCCACCACCTCCCATCCGCTGCCACGGCCCCACTGGCCCCCCCGCCTCCCCACCTGCTGCCACGGCCCCCCCGGTCTGCCGCCCGCTGCCATGGCCCCACACGCCTCCCGCCCGCTGCCACGGACCCACATGGCCTCCCGCCTGCTGCCACGGACCCACATGGCCTCCCGCCCACTGCTACGACCCACACGGCCCCCTTCCTGCTGCCACGGCCGCCCCAGCCCCCCGCCCGCAGCCACGGCCGCCACGGCCTCCCGCTCACTGCCACGGACCCACACGGCCTCCCGCTCGCTGCTACGGTCCCCCCGGCCCCCCGCTCTTTGCCACGGCCCCACACGCCTCCCGCCCGCTGCCACGGCCCCACACGGCCTTCCCCGGAGCAGCCGCTACTGTGGTGCAAGCCAATAGCGCCAGTGGCCATGGCCCCCTCCCCCAGAAGGCGATGCTCCCCCTGAGCAGGGCCGGCCAGCAGCACTGCTCCCACCATCCGGGCCAGAGGCACGCCGGGCCCTGGGGGGTCATGAGGCGCTGAAAATGTGATTACAGGACTATCTCATCTTACGCTGGGTTACGTTCCGCGGTCAGCGCGTAAAGCGAAAACCGCGTATCGTCAAAATTACATTGAGTTCAATGGCGGGTGGAATCGCCCGCACTACAGGTACAGTATTACAATTGTTAATTTTTTCTTTTTGTTTTTGCCGACCGCGTAAAGCTGAAATCACGCATGTTAAATGTGCGTAAGATGCGACAGACTGTACAGCCTAAAGCAAAGGAAATCTTGCTCCCCCTCCAGGGCTCTGTCCCCTTCGAAGCAGACCCCCCCCCACCCCATCCATCGCACAGGCTGAGTGCCAGCAGCACACACACACCGGTTACTCTGAGTCCATAGGAAACATAAGGGGGTGGGGAACATTTTGATTTTGAATAAGGGGTTCCCGACCTGAAAAGACTGAGAAACGCTGGTGAGCTGCGTAAGCCGGGCTGGAGAATCACGCCCCAGGACCCCTCATCCAGCCCAGAGCCGCGGTGGAGCCACAACATCCCATTTACAGACTCCCGATTGACCCCCTCACCCCTGGGTGAGCCGTTCGATGGTTAATTCCCCACAAAATTGTGCCATATTTCCAGTCTGCCCCAGCCCCTGGGTCTTGTTCTGCCTTCGTAGGAGCCCGGAGCTCTCAGACAGCTCCCCACGTATGTTCCTACTGTGACCATGTGACATTATGAGTGTAATATAATATCTCATTGGAAGATGACAGGGACAGAAAGAGTTAATTAACTCACCGACTGACCTGACCCAGGGCCGAACTTTAGAGACTGGTTAGGAAGATCTGTAAATGAACAGAGCTTTGAAATGCAGCCGGCATTGTTAGAGGTAGAAGGGGAGATGTTTGCTCAGGGCTTGGGATGTAAGCAAACGAGTCTTGTCTATTGCTACAGCTTTGATTCAAAGATCAAAAAAGGAATATTAGTATTTAGGAAGACCATTGAGGGAAATGGTATTATTGTCTCTCTGTCTCTTTGAAGGTTGTGGTAACCTGTAGCTGAACTGTTTAATGGATAAATTACCCTGTGCTAATTGCCAGGATGTTGAGGAGAAGGAAAGTTAAGCCTATTGTTTTCTCAGGCCAAAAGGCTGCTGGAAATGTATAAGAACCCTGGGACACGATCCTTCTGCATCTCAGATCTGCTTTGGGTTTCAAGAAGGGGAAACCTTAAGCCATAAGGATTGAGATCCCCAGTCATTGACTGGAGTCACCCTGAATATGGACATTGGACTATAACCTATGGACTATTTCTAAAAGGACTTTTGGCAACTACAAACTCATCTCAGCTATGTATCTGAACCTCAAGAATTGAATTCAAGTCTGTCTGTATATTGATCTTTTAACCAACTCTCTCTCTCTCTTTTCTTTTTTAATAAATTTTAGCTTAGTTAATCAGAATTGGCTATAAGTGTGTTTTGGGTAAGATCTAAGTTATAATTGAACCTGGGTCTGGGGCTGATCCTTTGGGATTGGAAGAACCTTTTCTTTTATATGATGCGATAAGATTTTCAGTAATCATCATCATATCTGACATGTGTGTCTGGATGGAGGCCTGAGGCTGGGCACTTTAAGGGAACTGCGTGGTTTGAACTTCTGAGTAACCAGGGAGGTACTATAGAAGCTGTTTTGGGCTGGCTTGGTACATCTAAGTATTGGAATATCCACCAGCGTCTGGGGTTTGTCTGCCCCGTTTTGTTTGCAGTTCACCCTGATTAAGTGACCTCAGCTGGCTCCCACGGGCAGCACCGTCACAAACCAAGTCACTGCTTAGCCTTCTCTGGGATCCACTAAGTTGACTGAAGGTCTTTGCTCTCTCACTGTCAGGCGGGTTTTCCACGTCTCTTCTCTGAACCCGTCCCCCTTGTCAGCTCCCGTTGGGAAGTGCGGACACCAGACGCGGACACTGTATCCAGTCTCACCAGTGCTGCATCCAGAGGTGACACCATCTCCCTTCGTCTTCTTGCTTAGACGTCCACCCATCACTTCGCCCTCTGAGCCACAGCACCGCACACTCCTGCTCAGCTGCTGCCCACATGGACCCAGTCCCTTTGGGTCAGTTTGCCAGGAGACAGTGCCCCGTCCTGCCAGCGTGACCTACCCTCCCGGCTCCTAGAGACGTGACCTTTGGCTGCATTAAACCACTGGACGTACCCAGTTTACGACGCAGCCAATTACTCAGTTGAATCACTGTGTCCTGCTCCGCCCACTCAGCTGTCAGCTGTGAACGTTTCCTGTACAGATTTTATACACTCTCCCAGATCCCTGACAAAGCCACTGCATAGCCCTGGGCCCCGTAGGGGAATGACGAGAATTCCATTTACACTGGTGCCCTGGGATCGAGCCGCAAGCCAGTTTAGACGCCAATCAGTATGTGCCACATGGGTTTTGTGCAGCATTCGTTTTTAATCAGGATGGAGTGTGATGGCAGGGCGCGCCGCACCAATGCCTGGCGGGGTCACACGGGCCCTACACCGTTATGGGACGGCCTGAGCTCCGTGCCGACGCCTGGCAGGGTCACACGGGCCCTACACCGTTATGGGAC